AGAAACATATTGATAACATATAATCATCATGCCCTTCTAATTTGTTCAACTCATTTATTTTAATGTTTTTCCACTTACAGTTTATCAATAGAGCTCCATTTTAATTAACCCCACTTATTTCAACATTTAAAAATTCAGCTCTTCTAAAATTACATCTTTCAAAATTTGCACCAATCCAACCACTATTCTTTATACAAATATCATCATCTAAATGGCTCACAAGTCAACTTTCAGACCTACTAATATTTTAAGTCCATTCGACACACATTAAATAAATGATTCATCAAGAGTTGTGAATTAAACTAAAAATATTCATAATTAGACAATTTAACCATCTTTTGATATTTTTTTTATTAAATCTTTTCTAAAAACTTCATAGAAGTCTTCACAATAATTTTTTTTATTAAATCTTTTCTAAAAACTTCATAAAAGTCTACACAATAATTTTTTTGATTAAAGTCATGATCTTTGAGTTATTTCAAAATATCCACCATTTTCTTTATTTTATTACTCACTTAATCTTAATTAACATTTTTTTTCATAATTCCTTTAAAAATGGACTATAAACAATGAGAGAAATTTTCATCATCTGAAAGATATTTTAAACAGTCCGAAACCATTTTATTTTCTCAATCTTCAATTATCAACTTATATAATTATTTGTCCAAATCTTTTGATGAAGCTAAAACATCATACAAATCTTCTTTCTATTCCATTTCTTATGTTGAAAAAATAATATTAAATCTAATATTTTTATAAATAATTTTCTATTATCAAAAACAAAATTTTGTGGAAATTAGGATTTGATTATCATAATATAAATTGTAATTGTGGTAAATTTCTGTCATCTGAACATCATCTATGAACTCTTTTATTAGTTGTTTTTGTTCTGTTGTTGTTGGATTTAGAGAATTACAACACATTGCAAATGATTGTTCAATTCTTGATTTTGACAAGTCAAAGAAAACAGCCAGTTCATTTACAATTTACAATGAAGACTCTAATACTTTCAACTTTTTTATAACCTTTGAGTTATTGTCAATTTATTTTTTATCGATTCTATTAATAAAGTATATATCTTTACCCTTTGTATTAGATATCCACTGTATTGCGACAATTCTTTTGCATTAGAACTGGTAGCACATTGAAATAAAAGAATGATATGTCTTGAAAGCATAAAAATAACTTCTCTAACACAACTCCACTCCAAGTTCTCTATCTCCAAAATTTCATGAAATAATCTTAATCTTACATCATTTAATAAATCACTTGTACACTATAACAACACTATAACATATTTCTAAGTATTTCTGTTTTCATAATTATAAACTTGGCTCAACTATTTATTTGTGCATTACTAATTAATATTTCTATACTATCAAACTGTGCAAACTCTTTATATTTCTGATTACTTAATGTCTTAATTGGTGATGTATATATTACTTTTTTATTGTGTTGTTGTGATTTATAAGATGTATAATCTTGTCTTCCAGAACTTGTATGTGGAGTTATAAATAAAACATTTCTTTTAATATTTGGATATTTTGTATCGAAATCATCTGGTAATATATCATTCTTGACTTCAATTACTTTCAAACTATACTCTAATAGTCTATCATCATCTTTAATATCTGATATAAATACATGAGTATTATCAATATTACTAGTATTTTCTTGTTATAGAAAAATTGAGAGTTATCTAATGTTATTTTTGGTAATTATGGTAATTTAATAGATGATATTAGTTGTTTTATAATACCTTCTTAATTCTTCTGTTACTTTTACTATTGGCAATGTTGTTATTGTTCTATTTATTATTGTATTTTTTGTATTTTTTGTATTCGTATCATTATTTCTGTTATTATCTGTATTGGTTTCATTATTAATTTATTATCTTTATTCATATTATTATTTCTATAGATTCAAGATCTTTATCTCTTACAAGCGTACAAGCAATAGACATTATAAATTCTGTTTAATCATTTGATGATCAAATTAGAATATACAACATTAAAGAATGTGTTTAAAAGATACCTGTTTGGTATTGGATTTAAAAGTAATTTAACAGAACTTATACCCAATGAAATATTTGATATTCAATGTATAAAAGGAATATTGTAACTATCTTTTCGATCGTGGATTGCTCTAATAAAGTTTCTGCTGTATAATAGTTTATTTGAATTTATCAAGTTGTTCTTCAAGTTCAAATGTGAAATCAATATTCTGCAGTTTCGACAACAATTAACAATTGTGGTATCTGATCATAGATGGATCGATGGGGAGAAGAAGATGATCCTTGAGGAGATGATTAAAGGTCCGCCTAACTTTATGACTTGGACATTAAGTCCAGATAAATTTAAATAGAAGTTGAAAGTTTCTTTTGTTGTTTAATATGATCTTGTAATTCAGTTTAAGTTTGATCTTGCATGTCAAATCCTCTCTCTTGTATTTTTTATAGAGTAGCAATGAGAAAATATCTAATTTTGATTTAGTAATTTTTCAAGATGAGGCCTAAATATGTGTCAGGAGTATTTGATGGTAATCTAAGTAATTATTTCATATTCTTTTTCTGTACTTTAATATTTTTTGTGATAAGGTTTTGCTATTAAAAGATGAGGAAACTGCCACATATATAAAATAGGGCTCATTATAAGTTCTATAAAGGAATAGTTTTTGTGGGAAGTCCATTTTGATGGATATAAGCAATGTAATTTATTTTATGTGATATATTCTTCACATGTAATATTATGGTTCCCTTATAATCTAATTCAACTCCTAAATACTTGTAGTTTGTAACTACAGGAAATCAGATAATGAAGTTTTATTTGCGCTTGATTGGCATAACTCCGCTCTTCTTAGTTTTTATTCTAAGATTCTAGTCAGCAGAGAATTTTTTTATACCATCTAATAGAAACCCTCAGTTACGTTTATTGGTTTATAAGACTAAATAGTCAGCGTAGCCTAAAAATTAAAATGAGTGATTATTTCTGATTGTTAATTCTTTTAAGAATTCCATTCTTATGCATTTTATTAAGTGAATGATAAATGGTAAGTATTGAGTTTCCTAATTCAGATAAAATTTTTCTCAGTATTAACCTAAGCCAATTCCAGATCTGCCTGAACTTAGTGATACTGAAAAATATGATATCAAAAAATTGTTTCTGACAAAGCAATATCCTATGATGGTATAACCCGTCAATTTATAAGTAATTGTAAGTGGAGACTCATCAATAATATATGACCCTTGATTACTTTTAAGATAATTGTTGGTTACATTATTTGAATATCTTCTTGAGCTTTATAAATTAGAATTAAATTTCTATGATTGATATCATCAAGAGTTTCTTTTCTTTACAGCATTTTAATTAATTTATTTATATTGTT